TGTTGTAAGACTATGTTCAGCGCTCCCAGCGTTGGCCTGGGCGCTGATTAGTCCCCGGAAGATGGAGTTGATGGTGTTGAAGTAGCTGGACTTCCCAGATCCGACCTGACCGACCAACAGGATCCTCGCTTGCTGGAGATCTAGTCCGGATAATGGTTTATAGGTGGCCACTTTGCTCTTTATCTCTTTCCCAAACTGTATGTATAACATAAATTAATAATAAACTCTTTCTCACAAAAGTCTAATCAAAATAAACGTCCGTCATTTATAGATTGAAATCGAAACGAAAAAGACAGCATTGCTCTTGACTAATGAGTACATGTACCTAGTATGCCAAATATGATTTACAGTATACTGATTCATACAGCTGTTTCATCCTTTTAGGACTAATCGGTGATGCAAGGGACCAGAAAGTTAGATATTAAAATTAGTCTTAACCAATTTTGAAACAGAGCGGGAGGTTCGTAAAATCATCCCTTAATTGATGAATTTGAAGACTTAGAGAAGTACTGATAAAATATAATAAGTTAAAGCGGAAATATTTTTCTTCGTTATATACTTGTTTTAATTTTACAACTTTATGCAAAACATATCGGTAAAACTTTATTTATACACATCTAAACGCTTGAGGTTCAGTAACAACGAGGTCACAGAAAACATAGCAAACGACCACCTCTTTAACTACAAGAAAACCCACAACAGTAAGTTCTCTTAAAGTATGTACTTCCGTTCGAAGTAATAAAACCCTGTATCAAACTTGTTTTGACATATGAGTAAAACTCGCACAACAATCATCAATCTGCTACAGTTAAGAATGGCGACACAGTGACGCTTTTAGCGATATATCTTATGTTAAAATGGAAAACGTTAATAAATACACATTTTTGGGATATCCAAATGGCGTAGATTTAGTTGATTTTTTATAAAGCGGTATGCAAGCGATAGGCATCTATTTTAGACACGTTTTTCAGATACAAATTTGCCTTCAAGGTTGCTCAGAATTTAAGTGTTCATTAAAAAAAAATTAAACTAGATCAAAATGAGATTTGAAGGTGTTTTAAACCTCGGAAAAAGAGAACATCCTGAAAGTGATCCTAAAAATTACTGCCATATTTTGATGTGTCAGTTTATTAAATAAATCGATTTATTTGATTTTTTAAAACATGTTCAAAGTGATGCCCACAGGCAACAACACATTTTACGTAAATCAATATATTTCCACAATTTATCAAACAAGTCCTATACATACGGAGGAACTCCAGTCCATATTACGCATCCATGGCTTTTCCATGATCTGTTTTTTTTCTTACTTTGCAGTAATTCTTCTTCCTCTATCTGTTCCTTCACTTCTTTCTCTGTACCAAAAACATTAAAATTATATAACATTATATCTTTGGATCTATTCTAACAACTGTGACTATCATGCACTGCCTGTGAGTGTACGAAGCTTGATAGAAATCATTTCCTTTTTGTATTTCAATATATAAGGCTATTAAAAAGGTGATACAAAGATTAAATACATAAGTATTTCAAAGTGTAAGTCGCGTGGTACACGTGTAATAACCTTTTACAGCATGGTCTTAACCTTAGAATCGCGTTTTCAATACCTTATAATGGGATTGTTATTACCTTGTTATCGCGTGATCATTACCTTGTAATCACATTATCATTACCTTGTTGTCGCGTAGTTATTACCTTGTTAACGCGTGGTTATAACCTTGCTATCCCGTGGTTACATATTGTATCACCTTGTTATCGCGTGGTTATAACCTTGCTATCGCCTGGTTAACACCTTGTTAACTCGTGGTTATTAATGTGTTATCGCGTGGTCATTACCGTGTTATCGCACGGTTTTTACCTTGCTATTCCTTGATCATATATTTTTTTTATCGCTTTGTCATTACCTTGTTATAGCGTTGTCATTAGCTTGTTATCGTATTGTTATTAACGTGTTATCGCGTGGTTATGTCCTTGTCATTGCGTTGTCACTACCTTGTTATTCCTTGGTAATTATCTTGTTATGGCGTTGCAATTACATTGATATCGTTTTGCTTTATGAAGGCAAGTTTTTGGTATTTTAATTTGTGATATCCGGATTTTTGGTTTATTTTGAATTATATTGAATTGTTGTGTAGTTATTTTGTTTTGGAAGGATTTCATTCCCGTTTAAGTCGTAGTTTACGATGAAGTATACAACAAAATATCAATTTTGTTAAACGCAAGTGATTTTGGTATTGATGGTATATTTGTTTGCATTTTATTTTTGTTTGTAAAAATCCTTTTTTTCATTCCTCCTAAAATATCTTATTGAGAACTTCTCAAAACTGTTTGAACAACTCTCCGATATATAATTTTATGTCATAATATTATAATCGTTTTCTTTAGATAAAATCTGTCAATAATTAAAGAGATTTTCACAAAAAACTAGTTTTCGACAGAAATCCAAACCAATGTTGTCACTTATTTACCTTTTGTTCCCTTCGAATGTATATATATACATGCATTCGAAGGGCTGACAGTTTAAGCCTTATGTTCAATTTAACAACTACCTCGAACACTGTAAACTTCCAGATTCATGACTTGTAGATGACCGTTCATCACAGTGTTGTAGTTTTGTCCCTGCATGTTGTACGTATGGCCTACACTGGCAGAACCATTTAATCGGAAATAATTACCGGATCTATTTACAGTTCCACTGAAGCAGTGCAAGTCATGACCACATCCAAATGTTTGCCCATAACCTGCATCCCCGTAAATCGCGTTTGTGCCGCCTCTACTTGTGTTAGGAAACTTCATTGGCTGTGCTGTACCGTTATACTCTAGCCTAACCAAGAATGCATTTGCATCGGTGATACATGAACTGTTGGAATTCCAGTTTGCAGCTGTGTACGCTCCGCACACTGAGTTATTTGTATTGTACAGGACAGTGACGGTCGGCCCTTTGTTGTCACTGTAACGATAAAAGGTCTGAGCGTTACATCCGTCACGGCTGATCTTGTACAGTAAAGTAAACGCATGGCTTTTTGACGGGTCAATCCATTTGGAAAGTTGATCCGTGTGGGTCTGCGTTAGCTTGGTCGTCATTGTGTTAACTGCAAAAAGATACAGTTTATGGAGCCAGAACAAATGCAAGAAGTCAATGTCCTCATAGACTTGCGCATATTTGACCATTTGGATATTTTTACAACTAACGGTGACCGACCATTGTACTGTATTGGCAAAATACGAGGAAAACCGACATAAATAAATTGTCAAAGTCCTTTAAATTATACCAGGCGACTGTCAAATTTACGACTGCTGCAAATACAGTTACCTTAATGACAAATATTTTCATTAATAAATTCCCATACTTACATGTATCATTTTTTTGTAGAGAGCAACCATCATAAAAGAGAGACTACATGTATATATGTTAAAACACTGAAGTACCCATTTATTAACCATACTAACATACACAACCACATCTTAGAATCCATCTAAGTTAGGAGGGTAGCAGAGGAAATCGATGAAGAGAGACAAGGAGGACACCAGCAGTATCATCTTTATGACCACATCTAAATATCCACTAAGAGGCGGAATGGATAAACATGCTATCCGTCCCGTACCTGCCAGCAGTAAAAGGGTATTATTTGTACGAACTATCCCTATATTTTCTGACATTTGGCGTAACTGACTCGTTGCCTCGTGGATTAGTAATTTGTGTTTAGTGGTTTAGAGTCGCGACACAGGTCATTTGCACTCTTTGCTTGGCAAAGGAAAAACAATTTTCGAAACATCCTAAATAAGCTTTCAACAGCTGTTCGTGTACCAAACAAACTTGGCACATATTTGCATATGTACATTGTAAATGTAAGTGTTTGTGGGTGATGTGTGGTTGATGTGTGTATATCTCCTGATGAAATGGGTTATATTCCCTTGCAGTATTTGCAGTTTGCATAAAAGAAACAACAAACAGCAAGTATCCCCTCGCAACGAAAGTTCTAGGGGTTATAGGATTCCGCCCGTACGTACGTATATTGCACTCTTTGTCATCGCTTTACCGACTTTATTCCTCAAAGGAATTTCATGAAACGTTATACAAGTGTTTGGTATGGCAATGCCGTGAACATATTGGCGTTTCAGGTTTCTACGTTGAAGGTCAAGGTCATTGATACTATTTTTAGAAAAACTTTGTTGAACAATTATTACTTTCGGCATTCTACGTTGAAGGTCAAGATATTGTTACTAATTGTAGAACAAACTTTGTCATCGCTCTAGCGACTTTATTTCCTCTTACATATGT